TTCAGGCGTTGAAAAACGCCCATTAGTATTGGTATTGCAGACCGCCAATTAATTTCGCAAATGCCGCACCGCAACTGTGAGGGAACGTTTCCGAACTAAAGCGTTAGTTAGTCTTATTTAATAAATGCGGATGAGGCTCCTCGGCTTCGCTACGATTTTAGTTATAAGGGGAATACTCCTGAATTAGTGGGCTGATACGCATTCGGGAACGGTACACCAACTGCTCAAACTGACTGAATTAGTTTTGGCTTTCCAGTGTACCATTTCATCTAAGTAGGGATTATTGAATGTGGACGCGTATCGTAGATGTGCTATCTCTTGAAATGTTACCCTAAGTTCTAAATTGTTTTCTAGATTCAAAATAATTATCCAATTAGGCTTATGGCATTTATTATCGCGCAGCATAATCCCAAGGTTTTTGCTCACGTCAAGCTTCGTGCTTTCAACTAAGCATATTTTCAACCGTCTGCAAAAAGTACATTCTTTAAAAAGTGATTACGCACGTGGTGAGACTTCATGATTGATTTTCGAGGCCTCTCACATGTATTTTATAGAAAATAAATAAGGTACGTTATTGTAAAAGAAGATTACATCCTGTTCAAATGATTATATCTGAATAGAAAGTATCTTTCGGTTTAAAAATGCTTTTCATTTCACGCCTCGCCGTTCCGCTTGTATTCACTTTTCCCAAACTGCAAATCACTAATTGATTTACGCTGGTAAGGAAAAGTTATATAAAATACTGTTCGTAGATTTTGGCATTGAAATGGAAATGTTGTATAGTCTACAAGCACCATGAATAAGTGGTCAGATGCGCCGCTTTACGAATAGATATTGTGCGGCCCTAGAAATGTCGTAACTAGCAACATTTTCAAAACCGAAATGTATCCTTTCTTTCAAGGATAAAATATAAAGGAAAACTTAGTTCAGCGATGATACCCACGTCAGCATTAAGGAAGTCAAGTTAGGCGAACAAACGTTTTCGATTAATTCATCATCAAGCTTGAAACATTCCTAA